CCCAACGACAGGAGGACATGTAAATATAGGGGGAAGTTCACAACTTTTAATCCAATTTTTAACCTACATGAAGACACTAAAATTTCAGTTTTTGAAAGGAACCAGAGTTGGAAAGTATTTAATAAGCTATTTGGGGTTTTTTTTCAATGTGGATTTCACATGATTTAATTTGAAATGTACATGAATGCATTTTTTAGGTTTTTTTCCTTAAAGCAAACATTATATAGTTTTCCTTCTATCCTCCTTTACCTATAACTCTGAGTCCTGTGGTTTTACACCTCCTTGCTCCTGTAATAATTGTTATCAATTTTGATGAATGTCCTTACACACACACACATTAATTAGAAACTTTAGAGTATTATTCAGTGTATATTTATAGAAATGAAAAACATATCTATTTATAACTTCCTTTATCAGTTCTATGGTTCGATAGTTGGGGTTATTGTGCCAACCTGGTCAATAGGAAAATGTGGGATTAATCAGGGTGCAGTTTGATTGGAGGGCAAAGAGATAAATGGCTCTGCAAGGCCCGCCCCCTTCTCTCTTGCTCTCTGGTGATCAGAGCATTCTGGAGCATGCTGCTGCTTTAGTTAGTTCTCCGCCTCAACTTATGAGCTACACTACCTGTGGGCCAAGCCAACCTGTGGCTCTTGTTGCTAAAGCTTGAGGCTCCTTCGAGACCTGCTTCACCATGCTATTGGTATGTACATCGCTTGAGCTTGAGGTTGATGAATCCTGTGGCCTTTCATTGCTTGAGTTCGATATCCCATCTGTGCCTGCTTCGCTATGATCCTGAGCTACTGACTGTTGGTGACTGTTGGTGATGCTCCCTGTTTGCTACCTGTGAGCAGACGCTGCCTGCTTTGCCTGAGGGAGGCCTCTGCTGTCTGCTTCCTTGATCTTGGATCTGGCAGCCCACATGAGTTGAAGGACTTCCAGTATATTCACTGTTCCATGGTAGTGAGTTGAACTGAACCTTATGTACTGCCGTGTGGACTAATTAGCTGTTATATTCCTTCTTGCTGTATAAATGTATCCTCTTACATATACATATAATCATAAGTGTCGTGGTTTTGTTTCTCTAGAGAACCCTGCCTAACACAAATGGTGCATTTTGCTGATCTATATTTTCATCTATACATCTAGACATTTAACTGATGAATTTAACTGATGTAAGCCCATGTCACAATCTATGTGGTCATTCCCCAATTTAAGGACATACAGGTTGTTTGTGATTTACTTACCACTATAATCAATGCCAAAGTAAATTTCTTTGGCAGTGCCTTCTTGGTTGGGTGTAAATGATTCTGAAGATACCGAGAGATCAATTGCTAAATCATAAGGAAAGTTCACTAGTTTCAATACTTTTAGTTTTTTTCTTTAATATAAATGAAATTTCTTTATTAAAAAGCTTCCATACCTTTGTTTGTTTACAATTTGAAAAACTATTCTAAAAGCAGAATATGCACACAAATCTATAAAGAGTGAAGGTTTAGGATGTAAATGCCTTGCAAGCTAATTTCAACAAACTGCCACCACTGGGTCTTTACTCTGCTAAAAAATATGGAACCCTTCATAAATTTGCACGCCATCCTTGCTTAGCAGCCACGCTGATCTTCTCTGTATTATTCCAATTTTAGTGCACATGCTGCTGAAGTGAGTTCTCCATTATTTCAGTTTTAATAAATCCTACTAAAGTGGTCTAGGATGTAACTGGAATCATTATACACCCACATGTGTCCCAGTTCTCTGGGAATTATAAATCATTTCCTTTTTTTTGTGGCCAAATACATTATTTCCCAATGTGAAATGCCAACTCATAGGGTAATTTGAAATCCCCCAATTGTTGGTGACAGATTTGTTAGGATCCAATTGTCACGTCACACTAGATGGCTTGTATGGTGTGTGGCTTAGTCTGTGGGAGCTAAGCTAGCAAACAACGTGACTTCCTCGGGACGGATGCCATTGCTGGCTCGCCTCAAAGAAAGCTACTTCAGGTAACTAAATAGCTTATGCTGCCAACATACAAGAAAGTACTCTTTGACCATC